AGTGCTTTGTATCTGTTCCTGCTCAAATGGAAGGAAGTGCGTCACCAGCCCTTCACTTAAAGGTATGGCTCACAAGAACGAAGCGGAACACTGCTGCGGCAAGGGTACAAAAACAAAGGAGAGGAAATGTAAGTGGGGGGGGGGGCAGAGAGCACGGCACGGTGGAAGAAGTGAACAAACATCCAGCATCGAAGAAACAAAGGAAAGAGAGGGAGGCAGAGAAAGAGAGCTGGGAGGAGAGTGGCGTGGCGGCGGTTTTCCCGTAAACAGACAGACGATGTGTTTGCCGTTTCCCCTCCTGTTTTGTCTGGAGACTCAGACCTGATCAAGACAAAAGCCCTCTTTAATCGAAACCACAGAGGAAAGTGTTCGTTGGCCCGAAAAAGGCATGTTTTTCTCTTTATGTGTGTACCTGCGTTCATGTCTTCAGTGCAGCCTTGCTGGATTGCAATGGCAAAGGACGGGACATGTCATGACACACCATAAGCGAAAGCCTAAGTTCACTGTACACATCTGAGAAAACTGTGTATCCATGATCAAACCTAAGCGACGATTGCTATATGAGGGCGTGGTAAGAACTGGGGGAAAAAGAGAGTTGGGTGAGAGTAAAGCGACGAGGAGAGGCAGAGGAAGTGATACGGAGGAGAGAAAGTGTCCTGCACTGAGGTCGGAAGGGAGCCCAGGGGGCAGTGGCGTACGCTGAAGCCCCACATGCAAGGGCAAACAGCCCTGGGTCCCACACTGTAGGGCGCCCCCTGCTGATCTCAACATTTTTTTCTTCAGTAACAAAACACATAGATCAAATGTCCACTTCAAACCTTTTATAGAACAATTGTTTAAAATTTTATAATCTATAATAATACATCTTAAATTAGGCCAATCGATCTGTAGCTGGTGGGACAGCCCCCTCACCCTGATTGACTAATTTTACCAACACTCCTGCCCCCACCCCTATCAGTAAGATTTATCACAAGCAACCCCCCCCCCTTTCATTAGCATATTATTGATGGTTCATTGTTTTTAGTTTCTTCTTCTTACTCTTTCGGCTCCAAAAAAATGTTCAAATGGCCACCTGGGGGCCCCCTACCCATGTCAGCCTAGGACCCCCGAAGAAGCCAGTCCGTCCCTGCCCACGTGGTAGCACCACGGATGTGGTGAGGATGTCTCACTGGGGCTGGGGGCTGGTGCCTGGTGCCTGCACCTGTGGGTCGGGCTTGTGGTTCTTCTGTTTTGTAGTTCCCTGGTTTTTCATGTGAGGTCCTGGAATTGCCCAGAATCTAGACGTCTAGATCAGTGTTTCCCACCTGATCCTTGGGGACCTACAGACGATCCACGTTTTTGCTCCCTCCCAGACAGTCCACATGCTTGCAAAAAACATGGACTGTCTGCAGGTCCCCGATTTCTGGATTGGGAAACACTGGTCTAGAAGAACCCAAGCTGGTTGTGACCTTGGCAAACACTGTCGGCTACCAGAGACACGCAGAATATGATGGTGGGGGGGGGGGTGCTCTTTCCCCGAGGTCTTAACTTGCGGTGTGTTTTTCTTCCAGCTGGATGAAGACCTAATGTGAGTTTGTAAAAGTGAAAAATTGAATTAGGTTGCTAAGGGGGGTTTGTGCCCCCCCAGCCAAAACAGTGCCCTGTCCCCGGATACGTGACCTCATAGGCCGGGATCAGCGCCCAGGAAACCTTCGGCCTTTCCATGACACACTCTAGGTTGCTTAGAGGGATGAGGAAGATGGCATCTTCCCTTTTCAAAGCGTTCTGGATGTTTCCGTTTCCTGCCCAATTGAGCTTGTGTGGTCCTGCTTCCCTTAGGACCTGTTTATAGAAAATATGTCCCAGAATGCCTTGAGGTAGTGAGCGTGATAAGGCCCCCTAGTTTGGGGTGTCTTCTAAACAAACAAATCCTGATAATAAACAAGATGTTTTAATCCACCTACACCATCCCAAGCTGATTCTTGTTTTGGGGTAGATCCAAACAAAAAACAACAACCCCCCCCCCCATTTCAGAGCACGAGTTCATGTTTGGGAGGGAACTCTAATGCCAGTGCATCCACCCCCCCGCCTGCCCCAAGACAGGCACAGAGCTCATCCAAAAGTCCAAAACCTCAGCTTGCATGATGAGCCACATACTGCTGCATCCCGTGACCCTGTCACATCCAGTCACGTCTCAGCCACCTGCCCGCTTGAACCTGGGCTGTCATTCAACCTGACAGTGGGCGATGCAGAGGTGTGCGATCAGGAGTGACAGGTCCTTGGGTGGGATCCTGGGGGGCACAGAGCCTGTAATGACACAGAACCCGCGGCTCTGCCACCTTCCAGGTCACAGGGACATGAATCAATTCCACAAAGAACAAGGATGACCTTCATTGAATCTGTCTACTGCCTTATGGGCCACACAGCCTCTGGAAATGGCTGCCATGCCGCTCTTTATGATGTCAACACAGTCAACCAACCGACCACTATGTGACTGTCAGATGACTCTTTAATGTCATTAAAGTTCGAGAAGAACAATACTGAACTCTGCTTCTTAATGCAACCCAAGTTCGACAACCACCCCCCACCCTTCCTTAAACACGAATGAACGCACATAAGCAGTGCCAACACTGAAACACCTAAGGGATATTTCTGCAAAATCCCTTGACGGGTTTAAACAGATAGTTCCTGCATTTTGCTTTCTTCTCTCAAGGCGATGGGGGTTGTGTATGACTCTCTTTTTGTATCGATCATCAAAGCTCACTCTGGGGGATGGTGGTGGAGAGCATTGGCATAGTCAAATAGATATTGTTCTTTATTGAATCTCAACAGAAATAAATCTCCAAAATGTAACAAACAATAGCGGAGAGAAACAGGGAAACTTACATGTGGATGCAGTGGGGGGGAGACTTTGATGGGATTAGTGTCTGTTTCCATCTACAGCAAGACGGGAGTAATTAGCAAATGACAATTGGCATGCTGCAGTTCATTAAAAATATCACTTTTTGCCAGTGCTCAGACATAACACAAGAATATATCAACTAAGCTTGGTTGTGGAGCACAAAAAAATGGCAGTTTGGTAGTTTTCATCTATTGCCTGCCCCCCACAAAAACATGATCTTGGATCAAATGAAGAGCTCGAAGAGGAACAAGTTCTTGCCAAAATTAGCTAAGCCTCTCAGCCTGTCATCTGCACCGACACTTGCATTAAAAGGCCGACTGCGTGCTGAAGGCTGCTCCCTCCGCTGACCTTGCACCCCCTACTGCACACAGAGCCATCCCTCTTCTGCCTCCCCCTGCATTTTTTTCTTTTGTTTGGTGCACAGAGGTACAACGGACAACTCGCGGCGGAAGTGAAGAGTGTTACGTTCCGCTGCATCGGGGCTTCGTTATTTCCATCTCCTCATCTGCAAGGAGCCAAATTCACGCAAGAAAAGTGACAAATAAAGTGGGGTGAGGTTGACAGCTTAGGATTTTGGAGCAACGAAGAGGGAAGGTAAACAAGAGATGGGGAAGGCCGTCTTCCGCCTGCCCGCTCCCGTCTGCTTGGAGCCTCCTGGGACAGTCAGTGATCCGGAATGCCAGGATGACTTCTGAGTGCGTCCTCTGCTCCAGTTAGAAGCCAAACCTTTCCTGATGTTAATGCCCTCAATGGATTCCAACTCTCGCAAAGATCCATCAACTTTGTTGCTGTTTTTTTTTTTTTTTTTTTTTTAAAAAGTCTTTCCCCTCTCTTTGCACTGAAGATGACTTACCTCAAGGGAGATTATCCTGAGAAGTAGCTCGGAAAGTCATCCCTTGTGAATTTTGATATCCAAGTAAAATGTCCCTGAAGGAACGACTCGAGGAACTGACAGCTGAAGATATGCCATCCAGATGTATTCCTTTTCAAAACCTGGCGCTGCCTTACATCTTTCACACGTTTCCACCAACGCTTTGCCCTGTTTTTGTCGCTCTTCCCTTTTCCAACGAGCGAAGACAGAGTCGTTTGGAGGATCGTACCCACTGGACGTGCCAAAAAGGTTTTGTACGAGCTCAGTGGCAAATGGAGCCGCAGAACCAGCTGTAAACACCCAGGTCCAGGACATGTGGCTCTGGAGTGATGAAAAGTACTTGCGGTCACCAAAATAATGCCGATGTCAAACTCCTGTCTTATAGGCTAGCCTATAGGAAGGGGTCAAGTAGGGTCACTCTACACAATAATTACCATTAGTTAAGCAGGCCAATAACAACTTAAACTAGCAGTCTTCTGGTACTGCTGAAAATCTCCTCGTGAACCGTGGTCAGGTTACCTCAGTTCACTAGCAACACCTCTGCCTCTATCGCATCAAAAAGCCTGACTTAATTATTGCTTTCCAACAATCCGTAATTACTGTTATGAACTGTGGAGATCACTAAAATGTAACAGGATTAGAGGTTTTTAAAAGATTAGCCTAAACTTGGAGGGCCAAAGACTGTGGTCAACACCCTCTGAGATTCAGAAGCTAAAAAAATGAAAAAGAAGCTTCAGAAGGCAGCCTGGGCTTCCCTCTATTGACGAGCTGGTTTTCCCCGTCAGAGAGGCAGCTTCACGTGCTCTCATGCCAATGTGCTTTTAGCACTCTGCAACATTAACTCAAGGACAAAGTTTATCTACAGCTTTACTGATTTCTTGAGGGGGTTCGTGGAGGTGGACTGGTATGACTCAGATTACGTGGCACCAACTACCCCCTATAGAAAACTTTGGTTTTACCACCAAGAAAGGCACCATTCTCACAAAGCTCTGGGACGAGGCCAACACAGGCGGCACGGACGACTTTATGCACATCGTCACATTAAACCATCATTCAGAGGTAAACATCATGTTAAGCCACAAAATACAATGCCGAATTGCATCAGGCACTCAAGGAAACCGTTGACTTGTTCCTCGAAAATGTACGGATATGGCAACTGCGTGTAAACATAACATAACATAGCTGGGCTCAGTATGTTAAACTCAAGAAGCAAAGAAGAGAAAAAGGAGGCTAAAAAGACAAAAAGAGTCGTGCTTTTAATCATTTTATTAAAAGACTTGATGCTTTTAAATGGCCTAAATACATTCGCCCTATAGTTCCCAATTAAACATGACAGCTCCAGCATTACAAACAATAAATATAGCAGAGGACAGGCCCTTGGGCTGTGACAGACCCCTGACAATGACCCTTATGTTTAATAACGAAAACAAGCGTACACACATGCATGCACCCTTTCCCCCTCTGCCCCACACACTCGCGCTTTCTCTCTCTCTCTCTCTCTCTCCCTCCCTCCCCCGCTCTGCACTACATACACGCTGTCACTGACGAACACGCAATCCGCCTGTAATCTCCATTCGGAGCACACCTGTGGGTGTGTATCTGTATTTATATTTACAAACACACACACATGTATAAATAGAGCGACGCCATCAAGGCCTGACGTAAACAACAATAGCTTCCCTACACATGAAGCCACAGGGCAACGCGTTAATCCTCCCGGCAGCAAAGCCGCCACAGCACGTTCTGACACTCTGACTGTTCCCCTCACGCTGTGACAGGACCGGCTGTGCGGAGGAGTAGCTAAGGTCCCGGGTGTACCCTGCCCCCCCCCTTCCCGCAAGGCCGGTTCTGTCCTGACGGCAGCACTCTGCTCCTAATTCACCTTGAAGTACATCTGGAGGGAAGCAAACAAGCTCATTTTCTAACGGTGAGCCTGACACCCAATGGCTTCACACGGTCCGATTCGAATTTTATGAAGTAACTGCAGAGAAACCCACCCCCCCACCCCGGCTCAGGCCGGGCGATCGGGCAGGTGGGAACTTGAAGGTGCTTTTAAAGCAGAGGGCCGTGGTTCCTTTGTTTTGCTCAGACGAAATGTCGTTTGCTTGCAAGCCGGGTGGGTGGGTGGGGGGCGGCGGCGTGAGTTTGGCTGTGAACGAGGAGAACGGGGAAGCTCCCGGTTTGGCAGGCGCCCCGAAACTGCAAGACCTGGCGGACAGCCTCTGAAGTCACCGCAGACGTCTGGATCTGTGACGGGGACCCAACAGGGATTCACTGTGTTGACCAGTGACTCAGCGATGACACCTAATCTAACTGCGGCATCTCCGAGCGATGACTGGCATCGGGCGCTCAAAGTCCTCCGATTGGTTGGGAGTGCGCCGTAGCCATAGGAACCCCGAGGCATCCAGGGGGAGAGTGAGTGAAGATAGCTCAGGGCACCAATGGCGCACGTCCCACGTTCTTCCATAGCGCCGGAGTTTTCCGGAAGCTTCGGGCCCCACGCCACGGTTTGACAATGTTGCAACGAAACCCTCCAGTGAAGCCAATGAAAACATGGCCCGCTGTGGAACCACCCCGTCCTGCCCCACCCCACGACATACTCTGGGGTACAAAGGATCAGACTCTTTTATTGGGAAGGATTGTACAGATTCACTTGGTTGAGATGGTGGCGTGACCATACAGGCCTTTTAGCGATGAGCAGGACGACTTGAGACCATTTACACAAAAAAAGCTGAAGACAAACAAAAGATAACCCTTGAGCTCAACACAGTCGCAATAACCATCAGTGATAAACAGACACTTGCACATGCACACAGACACACGCAGAAAGGGCCTCTCCCTAACGCACTGTCTGGACGGTGTTCATCAAACAGATTCTAGCTCACACTGACTGCTGCATCCTACAGCTTCCCATTGGCAAAGGCGCCCTCCTGGAACTGTGGAATAAAGCTCTTGAAGTAGGCTCTATAGAGAGAGAGAAAGGGAGAGGGAGGGAGCGAGTGAGCGAGATAGAGGGTTCAGTATGTACCCTCCTGTCCTGCACACGAAAAACAAAAAATTATAGTAAGACAACGTAAGATCTTGGGAAACAAAGGGGACCAGGGCGTTTTGCAAACAAGGCTTAGGACTGGCTGTTCTGTTCTTACACCATGGGCAGTCTGACCTGACAACATCTGGGCGGGGCCGTGACCCTTCAGGGCATTTTTATGGGCCAATACCCAGAGCAACACATTGTGGGAAAGGTGCAGAATAGATACGTCCGTTCCATGATGGAGTGTGAACAGAAAAGCAGACATATTTCCTGTTATAGCTAAGAGTTGATGCCAAGGACGTCCCCATCACTGTGTAGCCCATGTAGCAGGAAAGCGATCGAGACTCAAAACTCAGCTTGGTTCTGGAATATGGGCTCTGGAAGGACTGGGATTTGAATGAGGAAGGGCAGTCTAGGCTGGTGATCTGTGAGGAGGTAGCTGGATCTCAGGTCTAGATGGGAGCATACTGGGTAGACTTACTTGGATGAAAATAGGGAGCCTTAGTTGATGGACCAATGATCCTTACGGAAGTCAAGAGTCTCAGGTCTGAGTAGCGGCGATGAGGTGGACTTACTTGGCTCTCTTGGCCATCTCATTGCCATCCCAGCGAGGGCTGTAGGGGTACGACTTCTGCACCTGGGAGTAGAGCTGTCCGCTGCTGGTGAAGTGGTACACCGACTGGAAGGTGAGCGTGGGCTGGTCACATGGGAAGTACAGGGGCAAGTCCACTGCAGGGGCGGGGCCAGGAAGGAGGCAGGACACAGAGAGGGGTCAGCGGTCCCAACACAGCCACACCGCGCTGAAAGAACCCTGGATGGCAGCTGCCATGGTAATAGGACCTGGGTGAGGATGACCCTGGTCCTAAGGTCCTGTGCTGGTTTTCATAAACTCTCACAACTTTACAGAATTCATCATTTGGACAGAGGGTTTCCTCAGCTGGTGATTTAGTTAGTAATCGGGGGTTTATTTAACTGTGCTCCCCCAAAACTTGCGGGAGCAAGGCGGGTCTGGCATGCCCGCTGGACTGCGGGAGCAGCAAACAGCAGCCACCTGCGAGCAGCCTGACTTTCAGCAGCAGCACTGTGCCATCAAGAGAAAGAAAAAAAAAACGGGCATTTGGAGGGCAGACAGCTGTGCCAGGCAAGGGCCCGCTTTACTGCCGCGGACTTGGCCGCCTCACCCTCACCGCTCACCATGGCAACGAGTGAGTCCCAGCGTGGGCCTCGTAAACAGCAATCAGCTTGATGGTGGGATCTGGGGCAAAGGCAAACAGCTGGAGGCTCTGGCATGTTTACCCTGCGGGTTATGGAGTGTGCAAACACACACACACACGCGCACGCGCACACACACACACGCGCGCACGCGCACACACACACACGCGCGCACACACACACACACACCTGCACACACACACACACATACCCGCGCACACACAGACACCCACGCACACACACACACACACAAACACACCCGCACACACACACCCGCTGGGGGATGAGGACTGTAAAAGCGTTCGAGGGAAACAGGAGGGGTCGAGACCCTCGCTGGCTGTTTGCACAGCGTGGGAGGGTGTCTGAGGAATGCGCGGGTGGGACTGCATGTGTGCTTGCTTGCGCTTGCAACTCACCGTGCACCAGGAAGCAGAACTCCTTCCACATCAGCAGGAGCGTGAGTTTGGTGAAGCCCTCAGCATCATACTCTACGACGCCCCTGGAAGCACAAGCATACACACACACACACACACACACACACACACACACACGTAACCGGTGAAGAGTGGAGCACGCTTGGGACACGCGACCTCGCTGAAGCACACCATTATTAACGGTCACCTGACGACCCCCATGGATGTACAGCACGCAAAGCCACGCATTGGGCTGAACCAGTCGTTACCAGCCACTTGACACACCCACCCACACATGCTGCGGCGGACTCACATGCCAAAGTGGCTAAGGAATGCAGCTATGTATTCCCTCCTCTTGTGGTAGCCCTGGATAACATACTGCACCTGCAGGGGAGGGGGGGCATCAAAGATCAGGCTCCACCCACAACCTCCCAACGACAGGAGAAGGTGGTCTAACCGAGCACAATTGCCATTCCTGCGATGAGAACATGCAAGGAACAGAGAGGTCTAACATAATACAGCTGTTTGAAAGAATACGGGGACTGTCAGTGATCTAGAGGACATGTGACTCTGGGGGCCCCCACCTACTGACGCTACAGGGGGCAGCCAGACTCATTCAAAGCTCCTCCCAGGGGCAGTAATGGGGCCCTCTGAGGTTGGCGCTGATTCTTACACAAGGTCAAACTGCAGCATTAGGGTCGCTTCTGGTCACCTCTTTGGTGAAAGACAAGAATGCAGTGTGTTTTGTTTATGCGGCTGTTCAGGTCATCGGGCGCGCCCCCCACGGGTAACCTGCTCATAACGCCGCCCCCCAAGAGGCAAGGGGGAGAGACTGAGTGAATGACGAACGGGACATGAGAGTCGTGCCGAGAACCGCTGTGGGAAACCTGACAAAAATAAGCAGAAAGGTGGAGAAGGTGGCGGGGTAAGGTGTGAGAGTCAGCCGCACTCTGCGTGTGTCCTGGCCGGAGCGGAGTGGGGCGGGGCGGGGGGGCGGTACTCAGAGCACAAGCTCCCCTCGCAAGCCGGCGGGGTCTCTATCCAGCTGGCTCCTGGGGAATGAGGGCCCCCCCAGAGTGGGACACGGGGCCCGCCGACGGGGCCCGCCGACAGGGCCCCCCCAGAGTGGGACACGGGGCCCGCTGACAGCCGCCCGGGGGGCAGGTTTACCTCCGCCAGCCTCCTCGTTATCCCGCCTGATAGATACCAGGCACTGACATAAAGCAACATCAGCCAGGCCTACAAAGAGTCTGACACTTGTGGGGTCACATGACTACTGATCACATGACCCCTGACCCCATATCACGAGGCAAAATAGGGGAAAGATTGCAGATTCTGTCACATTCAAGGCCTCCGAACCACAGGGCGTGTGACTGACTTGCGGTGCTTTACTCTCGCCTTTATTGACGCGAGTTATCGCGAAACGACACCCCCATCGCCTGGGAGAATCAAATCCATTACTCAGTCGCACTTGTGTTTTTCTGCTGTGGGTAGGAGCGTAATCCCGTATAATTCACACAGGGCAACTAAAGGGTAGGAGTGTAAGCCAGTTACCCAGGGCAACACACAGCTTTATGGGCTGACTGACACTGGAGTCAGCCACATGCGTGCCAGATCAACCAATCCGGTGGCTCTGATTGGTCAGGCCGTTGGCACCCCCCACCCCCATGACTAAGAAGCAAACGGCTGCTTTAATATTTATTTTTCTGAAGGCCTGTGGGTGACTTGCTTATGCTGCCTGGAGATAGGCAGTGGGGGGTGTGACATAGTTACACAGAACTTGGTATTTAGTCACCAAGGGTGGGAGCGGCTAACTGGAAAGCAGCACGCTGGCCAGGAAGGGGGGGGGGTGAAGTAGGGGTGACTGGGCTGGACCGGGAATGCTGGCCCCAGTGGGATTCCTGTGTGAATGCTTTATAGTCCCACTGATGACATCAGGACAGGAGATGCTCCATACTGGTGTTGCTGGGGTTGCGGGAGTGCTGGTGAGGAACGCTAGCAGGGAGGGGTCCAGGAGACTTGCCAGCCCCCCCCCCCCCCCAACACACACACACACACACACACAAAAACAGACACAAACACACACACATATTTTGGCGTACCAATCTAAATGGGGACCTTCCTTCATTTCTATAGGAAAACCCCTAATCCCAGTGATGACATACTTAACCCCACCTAAACCAAAAGTAACCAAACTAAACACAAGGCTTTTGCCAATTTTACTTTTTTGCACTCACAGATTATTATTAAATTGAGCTTATCAGAAGGGGGGGCAAAAATGTCCCCAAAAGTAAGGAAGTTTCAGGTTTTACCACACTTTGGGGACATTTTGGTCCCCAAATATGATTGATGCAAACACACACACACATACACAGGCACAATACAGACATACAAACAAACACACACACTCCTCTTGCAGGTTTTACTGTATGTTATTATAAGGATGTGTGAGTAGTCACAGTCACTAAGACCTGCAGAGGCCCTGGGTCCGTCTCTGACTGACAGGGGTCCTTAATCTGAAGGTTCCCAGTTCAGTCCCCGGAGGAGGTGTGAAACACTGAGCAAAGTACCCAGCCAAGTCTAAATCATCGTGCTGAAAAACAATCATTAAGCGCAGTAATTATAACCATTTGCCAATTAGCCAACAAGCCTGGGATCTCAGCTACTATGGTACCTGCTTCCCTCGAAATTAGTCCAGCTATTAGCATTTGATACTACAGTCATCGGCGACTCATAATCTGTGTCACAAAGTCCATGGGGCGGTGTGACGAACACGCCGTCGGGGGTGCTAATTACACCGTCGACCTTACCTTGCTCGTGAGCAGCTGGCACACTTGTGGTACATAGTCGATGAGGCAGCCGCCGCTGGGGAATGCTGGGATATGTAGTGCGGAGGACCCTCCCAGGGCACTGAAGCAGAAGAGGATAATAAATGATAGGTGATGCAATGTGGGAAAAACTCAAGGCTCAGCTTTTGAATTGTGAAAGAAATAAAAACAAAAAAACTGGATGTCTAATGATCCCCCTACACATTTGCTGCTACAACCATGACAATCCAGTCCCTGTACGTCACCAAGGTGAAATAAATTCTTTGTGCTTTTTTTTTTTCCAACAGGCAGCGACAGAGGCAGCTCAAGGTAGGTGGGGGCGAGAACGAATCTGGCATGCAGTGTCTCAAACACGGCCTGGGGGGCAGAGAGAGGCTATTTGCATGGTGTAGGTGAATGTCTTTGGTGGGGAGGGAGGGAGGGAGGGAGGCAGCCCGGGGGCATGCTGGCAAGAGGGTGGGGGCACTAAGGCAGGGCAGGTCACCTTTGCCCCGGGGGGAGGACGCGGCGAACCAAACCATACTGCTGTCACGCAACATGCAGCACACATGCTCATCAGTCGTGCGCGCGCACACACACACACACACACACACACGCACGCACACACACACACACAAACAAACAAACACACACACACACAGGCATGAAAACACCGGGTACGAGGCTGAAGCCGGCTGCTGTGCTCTGCTACATGCCGTGCGAAAGCCTGGCACACCCCGCTCTGCCCCACCCTGCCCCGAGCACAGCAGTTCCCGCCGGACCCGAGCACCAGTGGGACAGGTGGGGGGTGTCCAGGGAACTGACATTAGGCCAGCTGACATCAGGCTACACACCGCGTGGAAACCTCCAGCGACCGCAAGGTGCGGTTCTCAGGGTGGGGAAGACTTTGATCTTGGCACGGTTCACACACCTCGAGGGAGCTGCAGCCTGCGGGGGCATGTGCACGCACACACACACACACACGCACACACACACACACACACACACAGAAATACAGAGAGAGAGAGAGACAGACAGACAGACATACACAAACATCAAGAGGCCTAAGGCCAGAGATCAGGAAGACTGGCTCACTAAGATGACACATAAACACACAGACATTAGCAGACAGACACAAAGACACACACTCACAGACAGACAGACAGACACACACTCACAGACAGACACACACACACTCACACACAGACACACACACTCACACACAGACAGACAGACACACACACACACAGACACACACAATCACAGACAGACAGACAGACACACACACACACACACTCACAGACAGACAGACACACACTCACAGACACACACACACTCACAGACAGACACACACTCACAGACAGACACAAAGACACACACTCACAGACAGACAGACAGACACACACACAGGCAAACAAGCTGAGGCATACAGTAGAGCAGATTACAGGGCTGAGGTGTGTAATTAGAATACCTTCACCGCTGCGTCAGGGCACTTGGAGTCCGCCTCACTAAACGGACCCATCGAGAATCCTGTTAACCTCAGAACCTTCCACACAGGCCTTTAAGGGACAGAACAGAAGCATTTGGGACCCTGAAAACACTCTGCGCTGGTCAATCCGTGGCTGACTTTGGTGCCGGAGGTGAGGCTGGGGGCCTCTGACCGGGAGAACATTCTGGAGCCACGGTGGCAGTGGAAAGGCCCGCCTGTGGCACGGGGGAGCCGGCACAGTGAATCACTCTGCATTCACACAGCTTGTACTTCCGCTCTGAGTGCTATACAGCTTGACGAGAGACAGCCAACCACCAATGTGCCTGCCGTCCTTTTCCCTGAGATCCCAGCAATGCATGAAGTTCAAGCCGCTGTAGAGTAAAATTTGAAAAATAAATCCTGAGATATCCCCTCTTCGGGGTTCCAGCATTTCTCTTGGCTCTGTTGCTGCTCTAACTGGTGCCCTCAAAAGGCTCCCTTCACAGGCACGGCTATGAGGGTAATCAAAGACCTCACATAGACAAGGCCTGCGATCTCAGCCAGCGCAAAAGTGAAAGCGTAATGAAGCAGCAGAGCTGACGCAATGAGCGTGATACGACGGACAGACGGCAGGAAATGAAAGCAGACTGGCACCGGGAAAGCAAACAGCGGGTGTGGGGGGGTGCCGAGGCAGGATTCTTCTGAGCTTTCGGACAGATGCTAGTCAAAGGGTGCTTTATGACACCCCCAGAGGATTGGAACCAAGTCTCAGGGTGTGGCGTGTTCCCGTAAGGTTAGGAGACTGTCCGGGCATGACGGCACATGCCGGAGCCCTCCGTGGGAATTTTCTGGAAGCCCGTGATGTTCTCCTGGGCAGGGGGCTGAGCCCAGTGTCCCTCTGCCAGAGATTCCTTCTTGAGACACCCTTTACCTGCCTTCACCCAGCCTGACGAGCTGCACGCCAAGGCCCGTCCATGATTTGAGGGAAAAAAATCCAGAACCAGGATCTAAACGGTGAGGCTCGGAAGTGGCTGGAATGTGACCCAGAAGACGGCTAGTTAACAGCAACTTGTGGGTTATTGTGCTTAATGTACTGGGTATGCTTACATGCCATCTCCGTATATAAACAGCGTGAGCTTCGCCAGGGAAGAGAGGCGGCCCGTGTCCCCAAGTCGGCTAATTATTCCAGGTTTTCCTACAGCCCGTGTCCCCAAGCTGGGAAATTATTCCAGGTTTTCCTACAGCCCGTGTCCCCAAGCTGGGAAATTATTCCGGGTTTTTCCTACGACCTGTGGCCCCAAGCCGGCGAATTATTCCAGGTTTTCCTACGGCCCGTGTCCCCAAGCCGGCTAATTATTCCAGGTTTTCCTACGGCCCGTGTCCCGAAGCCGGAAAATTTTTCCGGGTATTCCTACGGCCTGTGCTCCCAAGCCGCTAATTATTTTGGGTTTTCCTATGGACCGTTGTGTGCCAGAGGCTCTGGTGGGAGTGCGGTCTGGCCCACTAACGGCTGCAGGACAGGAGACTGCGACTGGCTGAGATTCCGGAGGACGCCGGCTGGGGACGGCTGTGCCTCCGCATGGTGGCAACGTGTCGCCTAAACGGGCTTCTCTGGGCTGGGGGCCCCCGAAGACACGGCTAATTGTGGCAGGGCCGCCAGGGGTGTTGCTATGGGGCTTTCATGGCCGCTGAACCGGTTCGCAATTCCCGGGAAGGCAAATCTGGTCTTGCCGGGTTTGGACGCGGCCTCTTTCCACTTCACACAGCCCGGTTTGGCACACTCGCCCCGATTCCTGGTCTAGTCACCCACGGTGATGCGTCCGGATCAGACTCTTTTCCAAGGTACCGAACGGGCCGTGGGCGTGACAGAACCCAACAAGGAAAGGATCGGTCCCGACTGGCTGCGATGGCACCTTCAGGAACAGCCTCCTTCTCACTGACAGTCCTGCTTATAATTGTGCAATCCAATCAGAAGTGTGTAGGAAATATCTGAAACATTTCTGAAGCCTCACAGGCGTTCATTGGTCCGTTGGGCTTGTTGTTATGTCATGTGACAAGATGTCATGGCACTGGGCAGAGCCACATCCCCAGGCCGATGTGTACATACACCCGCGGGAAACAGAAACAAACAAACACACAGCAGCATGTAAGCAGCGACCAGGGAACAGCTCTCTCACCACAGTGGGCAAGCTATGTCGCCATGTGACCCTGATCAGGTGATTCTGTGTGGCCAATCACTACAGCTTTACCATTTTTCAAAGGATGTTTTAACATAATGTCACCCAGAGATTTTCCTTTAAAAAAAGTAGCAGAAAGTAGATAAACCAGTCACTGGCTAAACTGGAAAACCTCCCTAATCCCTTCCCTGATCCACATGAAATCCAGCCCACGTCATGGTCTTACTCTGAGAGATTTTCGTCCCTCTGAATGCAGCTGCAGTTTCGTCCTGCACCTTTGAAAAAGCAGAATCCCTCTCGATTTCCTCGGATATCTTGCAGGTGTGGTGGCTCAGGCACAGAGAAAGCTGTGCATTGTGGGTAACCCCCTCCCCAACCCTTGGCTGTGCCAGACATCGCACTGGATTATGGTGCACTTACAAGTGATTCCATAAATGAGGACCAATCACAAAAAAAAACATATTTCTTCAGCAAACCCAAGAGTCGTCTCCTTCGTAGTGTTCCGATATTGCCCGACCTGCCGGATCCCTGTGGTGCAGCATTCCAGCCATGCTGCTGAGAACTTTCATAGCCTTAAAGGAACCTTCAAGCGAGGGGACACCAGCTGCCCAACAGCACCCACCCCCCACCCCACAGAATAACAAATTCCACATAGATGGGGGTTCAGTATAAAACAATAACCTGAAAATAACTCTGCCCCCCCACACCACCAAACATGAGGTTCTTTTCTGTATTGCATCCTGAATGGAACAGCTGTTAGACCCTTGAGTGAGGTTCTCTTACAGCTACGGCTCTGGTGAAATCTCAACTGCCCCAGC